TGTGCGTGTTCACGTCTCCTTTTCAATTAATGATCTGAAGCGTACTGAACAAAAGATGGGGTCCTCCTCAGAAAAATCCCAATAAATTCAGGAAAGAGTCACTCAAATGGGCCACCTCACTTAGGGGGACATTTACCTCATCCTCTCATCCACCCACATGAATGACAAGAGGAAACGCATTTGGCGTGTGGCAGAAAATCATGCTGATGAGTTGCACCGCCAGCACCCTGCTAATCATGGCCTGGCAGCTCAAGTGATCCCCAGGGCTGAGCCCCCAAATCCCCGGTGGACATACCCACTGGTAGGGCAACTTGTGATCACGTGATCACTTGCCTACTGGCAGGAATGGAAAGAAATAAAAATAAACAGGTCAGCTAGAAGCGCCTCAGGGAAATTACCCAGGGGGCAGATGAAAACCCAGCCCTCTTTATTAACCCCCTTTCAGAGGTGGTGATCAAATACACAAACACCAGCCCCAACTGTTCTGAGGGTCTTACTCTCCTACACCTCCACTTCATTTCCCAGTCTTACCCAGATATTCGTAAAAGGCTCCAAAGAATAGAAAATAGACCCCAAACATCCCAAGAGAGCTTGTAAGTCCTCGCCTTTAAAGTTATCAACAACCAGGATGAGGAACAAAATACTCAGGAAGGAAAACAGGCTAAAGTGGGAAATCAGACTCTGGCCCCCCTAAATCGACCTCCTGCTGATGAGCCTGCAAAAGCTCCACCCCCAAACCAACTAGCAACTGTTTTCACTGTGGCAATCTGGGCCACTGGGCAAAAGTGTTTCCTAATCCCAAGCCTCCTACAAAGTAATGTCTGAATGGTGGCCAATGCTGTCCCTGGACAATGGATTGCCCTCTAGGGAAGTCAGCCCCTCCCTTGACTTCTCTCCCCTCCAGGCAACCGGACACATCTACGGAGGCCCTTAAGCGAGTGCTCCGCAAGGCACCTGCTTTGACTCTACCTAAACCTAATAAACCTTTCTTTCTGTTCTTAACCAGCAAAAAGGCACAACTATTAGAGCTACTAACTAGCACAATCAGCTGGGGACTCCCACCAGCCTGTTGGTATTTGTCCAAACGACTGGACCTTGTGATAAAAAGCTGGCCTCTCTGCTTACAGTTCCTAGCATCGGCTATACTCCTTATCCCTGAAGCCCCCCAAAATGGCCCTCCACCAGCCCCTGCAAGTACACCCCTCACACAAGCTCTCTGAACTTCTCAGCCCCTGGGCTCTAATCCTTCTCTCTCTGGCCTGAGTCCAAGTCTTACACTCTCAGCTTCTACAACCCTCAGCTACCTTCTACCTCTCTGGGCCCTATTAGCCTTTATCACCCTCCTTCTTCTTTTCCTTCCTTGCTTAATTAACCTATTCCAAAGGTTTTTACAGGACTGAATGGTGGCCATCTCTGGGGCAACTACTCGAGAACACCTCCAAATGGCCTTCCTGCTTCAAAATATCAGAAAACCCCCTTCATCACCCTCTCAGCAGGAAATAGCCAAGAAAGGAATGGTAACCTGTCTTCCTATACTCTTTAAAGCCAGGAATGATAGAATCTGGATGTGAATACCGCCTTTTGAATAAGCCACCTCAGAAATACCTAGGTTTCATCTTACTTAGGCTACATGCATCCTCCAGAGGACACGTCAGCAAGCCACAGCCCACTTTTTCCCTGACCCATCCCCTGAAAAGCTCGCCAAAAAACCCAGCCATAAAAAGAGTCTTAGCCTGTAAGAGACGCCTTCTTTGTTCTGCTCTCCAGAATAGGCAGGTCCCTCTCAGGTTTAGCAATAAAACTGCTCAGACTGTGGAATTCATGAGCCCTCTTTTCCTTTTACAAATTTTCCTCCCAGAAAATCTCTTCATGCACATAAGAGTTTTACCTTCCCAGATTCCATTTATGTCAACAATCTGAGAGACAAGGTTCTTTTTACATCCAGGCATTTCTTCTCCTCCATTTGGAAAGAAATCTAGGTGGCCCACGGTTTGACTCATTCCAAACCCTGAGGAATTTTAAAATACGGGAAAGTTGATGTTAATGTATATACCCAGTACACTCTAGAGCATTCTAATGTATAGACTCAAAAATCACTCTAGGAGGATGAATCGAGGGACTCACCCATGTAGGGGATTATAGGGAGACTGTCTGTGTGAATCACATCCACAAACATGGCATCACTGGGGTCCAGTCGGACTAATTCAGGTGTGCCCTCAAAGCAAGGTTCAGCTGGATCCAACCCTAAATAAGATGTGTCATGTTAATATCTACCAGTGTACGTGCCCATTTGCCCTTCTTCCTTAGTTACGTACCTGGGTGCAGGCCTTGGTTGTGATCATGAACGATGCATGGGAAAAGACAAGCTAGTTCTTCCCTACCTTATCATCTTCTGAAGGGAAATCTGTGTCTACTTTACTGTTTGCACTAAAGTGAATTTTCTCAAATCATGAAATTTGTTACAGGGTTGTTTTAGGGCCTGAGTATCCAACAATAAAATATTTAAGCAGTCTGAGATTTGTAAAATGATAGTTTTTATCTAATTAGCAGTGTGCAGAACTGGCACCCAGGGGAGCCTGCTCACCTGCCCACCACGACTCTTGGGTTGTGGTTGATGACGATTGGGCTCATTATTCATCATTACTGAAGCAGAATATAATTAATTATATAATTTGGAGCTCTTTGGGTTGAATTCTATTTATTATTTATTCTGTTGTTTATGCTATTTATTCTATTCATGAAACTTGTCCTTTGTGGATGCCTGACAAAGGGAAAATAGATATGAATAAGTCCTCCAGATTCACATTCTAGTCACACTCACTATTTCCATATTAAACAGAGTTCTGTAGACCAGAGATCGATATCGGTTAAAAAAAACCCACAAGGCCTCAGAACACACTGATTTCTGATCATGTGGCCCAATTCAGAGTATATAAAAACAGGTCTTCTCAGGTAAAAGGCAGGCTATGCCAAGTTGCCAGCCTTTTAGACCCCATGTAGGCTGCATTTAGTCCAATCTCGTAGCTTTTATTGTTGTGACCAACCTGAGATCCGTCCAATGGTCCCGTTGGTCCTCCTTCCCGCCTCCCCAGCAGCGTGGGCACCCAGGCTATGGCCGATGACGTGGACATCGGAGGGCGAGTACCCAAAGGCTGACTGTTGGAAACAAAACTTCTTCAGAATGTTTTCAAATAAAATTCTGGTTGGGCACAGAAGGGGAACCTCAGAAAACTTGAGTTTTAAGAAGACATGGGTCCCCTTCAAAGCGATTGATTTTCATGGATTTTTTTTTCAATTATAATAGATACTGGTGATGACTTAAAGTTTAAACTGGTGGAAGTAGAGCTCTCTTTTGCTGCTTTATTATGTAGAGGGAGCCCTTGATGGATAGGAAGAATTGTTGCCCAGAGGTAGTGAAAAAGGAGTTGGATTAGGAAATAATAATGAAAGCAATTATTTAACCACATTCTGGTTAACATTTTCTAAGTTTTTAGTTTCCAGATTAGGTTAGTTTGTTATCATTGTACTTCTCTTAAGAAAATAAACAATAAAAATTTAAGAAATCTAGTTTAATCTTGAGGTTGATACTATCATGTTTAATAGCCGGTAAATGAAAAGAAATACTGGTGAAATCCAATAAATTGAATTTTAATTTGATACCTATCTGGTGGCTTGAATAAAAACACTTAAAAAAAACCCTAGCTGATTGATTTTTATTGGCATATTGATGAAACCCAAATCTAGATTTTTTTTTTGTATTTTTCTTTTCAACAAAATCTTGGTAGAGAAATGTTTTTAGCAATTATCATATCTATAGATTGTTTTTTTAAAAGAGAATTCAGAGGGCATTGTGCACAGGTATATATATAACCCAGAGGTATTTACCTGAAGAACTTCAACAAAATATGCCACTTCTGCCCCCACAATTCGGATGTTTTGTGAGGCCTGTGTGTATCCAGTTCGGGAGCCACTTTTCCAGTCCACACAGAAGCAGTTCACGCTTTCTACCTGAAAAAAGTTCTGGTGGAAGAGACACAATAAACAAGTAAATAATTCAGGATCTTTATTAATTACCAATGAACACATGTGAGGACCAGGATAAATTCCCTCCTTGACCTATACAATATCATGCTTGCTTTTAACCCAAAGCAATTAACAAAACTTCTAACTGTTCTGGGTATGGAATCCATTTTAAAGGCTAACATTGGCTCCAAACTATAAACCATAAGGGGAACTGGATTCTTGGGATTTCTACTGCAACAGATGCATAGACATTTGTTTCAGAGAAAAATGTGTACAATGTGGTATAATGTGTTGTCTCATTAGAGCATCATAAATATCACAAGACTACATCATTCCTTACTGAAATGTACACCAGGACATTGACTGTCTTATTCATTCCTGGATCCTCAGTGCCTGGAACAGTTTATGGCAAATAGTAGGTGCTCAATAAATATTTATTGAATGAATGAATGACTGAGACACTATGCTAGGATACCATTAAATAAATATATTGAAGGTAAATGAGGAAACTTTTCCATGATGAAAAAACTAATCTGTGTTTCTGGATGAACATGTTTCATTATATGTTATTGAAGAGCTATTTTACATAATAGCATAAACAACAAGACATTTACTGAAAGCCTTGTATGATGCAGGTCAATGATAGTTTCATGAATGTTAGATCTGGAAGGAATTTTGTTTGTTTGTGTGCTCATATGTAACCCCACTTTTTTCTGAGAAGAATTTGAGGAAAATGAAGCAATCTTAGAAATCATCCCCAACTCTTTCATTTTACAGATAGAAGAATCCAAAGAAAGGTAATGATTTGCTAATGTTGTGGCTAAGGATAGAGACGGAACTAGAGTCTAGGACCTTTAACCTTTTGGTTGAATCTACTCCTTTCTCCATCATAATGCAACAGTGCTGTCAAAGCTAATCAAATGCAAGGAAAATCCACCTGCTTTTGGGACCTCAGAACCTCAGAAATAAATTGTACACACATATCTGAAAGTTTACATTTCTTTTGAGCTAAGAATCATTTATATTTTTCTTGCACTGTTGGAAAGAAATCTATTACTACCCTCCACACAATAATCATCAGCTCTAAATTATTTTAGAAGATAAACAATGGTTTTATTGATTATTTCTAAATTTGTGAAGTGAAGAGGCTAGCCTGTTAATTTTGGCTGTCTTCAGGATCAGTGGATACTTTTTGGAGTTGATTCAATTCAGTCTTTGGCTTGGGGCATAGACAGGTTTGAAATTATATAGGTTTAGGAGGACCTGCAGACCCCTGAAAAAAAACTGCATCTTTGTGCCAAGCTGGCCACAGAAGCTTGATTATTAAATGAATCAATGATAATGTTCCTTAAGCACTAGCAAAATTTACTAGGAAAATTTGCTTGATTTGATTTTCTGTCTTCTAATTCTTCATTATCACAGGGCATGCAGCCCCAGGCAAATTAAAGAATACAGGGTCACCACTGTTGCAACAATAGAAGCTAGAAATGACAACTTACCCTGTTTTCCCAGATATTGCTATCATATGAGATCAAAGAGCAGCAAGTGAAAATCAAAGGAAAATAATCAGTTTAGGCAAAATGAGTTATTTCTGTTTATCACATAGAAATTAAAACCTAATGAAAAGTTATTGAAAGTACAACTAATGTTGCAACATATGTCACTAAAATATTAAAATATATCTGTAACAGTTATTAAGTAATCACTACCCAGAGTCACCAAATGCCTGCCAAATTTCTGCCTTGTCCCAGGTCCCTTCTATCCCCTCCCCTGGGAACTCAGGTCTAGTAGGATCAGAGGCTCCTCCAGTGTCATGGCAGCTGGCATCTGTCCTGATTGAGAAGTCTATGCCTTTCTCTGTGTTAATTATCAGTCCAGAAACAACCTTCCCTTATGAAATGACCATATCTCACCTTGCACATATTGGCAAGCCAGCTTTCTTCTCCTTTGTCTATGAATCCATGAATAATAAAGCGGGTTTTTCTATCCGTTTTGAAGTTGGAGGCCATGATAGTTGATGGATCTGCAACGATTTCCTATTTTAGGGAGAAAATTGTTTAATGGCAAGTTTCTTATAGTCAAGTTTCAATAGAACTTTTAGTAGATGGAGGGAGGTGGTAGATAGAAGACTTCTGAGACTCAGGATCTTTGTGAGTAAGGATTCTCCTGTTACAACCAAGCAATTTGAAGTCATCGCCAAGTTGCTATTTTCCAGATGTCATAACATTTTGAAGCTGCTCTACTCAGAAAAATATATCTGCTATAATATTGGTGGTAGAGGTCTTATTGCCATACAATGGAAGATTTTGTGTATGTGTGCATGTGTATTTTATATATATACAAAATGCTGGGAAATTATATCTAATACTGGAAGATTATACATAAAAGTATATATATATATTATATATATACATATTTAGAATATTGATTAAGTGCATCAAAGAAGTAGGATAAGAACAATATTAAGTTCCAATCAATGGGTGGCTGAATGGATAAAAAAAGCAGAACCCATCTATATACTGCCTATAAGAGACTCAATTCAGATATAAAGACACACACAGACTGAAAATGAGGGATGGAAAAATGGAAATGGAAATGAAAAGAAAGGTGGGGTAGAAATACTTATATCAGACAAATTAGACTTTAAAACAAAGGCTGTAATAAGAGACAAAGAAGGGCATTACAAAACGATGAAGGTATCAATCCAACAAGGAGATATAATATACTTGTAAATATTTATGCACCCAACATAGGAACACCTAAATATATGAAGCAAATGTTAATGGACACAAAACAGTAATTAATAGTAACACAATAATAGTAGGGGACTTTAACAACTCACATTAAAGGATGGAGCATCCCGACAAAAAACTAATAAGGAAACATTGGCCATAAATGACACAATAGACCAGATGGCTATAATACATGTATGCATAGTATCTCATCCCAAAACAGCAGGATACACACTCTTCTCAAGCATACATGGACATTTTCCAGATAGATCACTTTAGGCTACAAAATAGGTCTCAATAAATTTAAGGGGATTGAAATCATATCAAGCACCTTTTCTGACCATATCAGTATAAAACTAAAAATCAATTACAAGAAGACAACTGGAAAAAACACAAATACATGGAGACTAAACAACAAGTTATTAACAACCAAAGAGTCAATGAAGAAACCAAAGAAAAAATTTTAAAAAGCCTTGAGGCAAATGAAAATGGAAATTTTTAAAAAATTTATGAGACACAGCAAAAGCAGTTTTAATAGGGACATTTATAGCTGTACAGGCCCACCTCAAGAAACAAAACAAGGAAAAGTTCAAGTAAACAATCTAACCTTACACCTAAAAGAAATATAAAAAGAAGAACAAACAAAGCCCAAAGTTAGTAGAAAGAAGGAAATTAGAAGCATCAGAGTAGAAATAAATGAATTAGACACTATAAAAGAAAGTAAGAAAAAGAAAAGATCAATGAAACTAAGAGCTGGTTCTTTGAAACGATAAACAAAATTGATGAACCTTTAGCCTAAGTCATCGAGAAAAAAGAAGGGGTCCAAATAAATAAAATCAGAAGTGAAAAAGAAGTTATAACCAATACCACAGAAATATAAAGGATCATAAAAGACAAGTATGAATGATTATATGCAACATATTAAACAACCTGGAAGAAATGGATAAATTCCTTGAAACATACAATCTTCTAAGATCAAATCAGCAAGAAAAAGAAAATCTGAACAGACTGATTACTGGTAAGGAGACTGAAACAGTAATGAAAAAACTCCAAACAAAACAAAATTCCAGACCCAGATGGCTTCACAGGTGAACTGTACCAAACATTTAAGAGTTAATAACTATCCTCCTCAAACTATTCCAAAAACTTTAAAAGGAAGGAACATTTCCAAACTCATTCTATGAGGCCAATATTACCCTGATACTCAAACCAGATAGAAACTATAGAAACAGAAAATTATAGGACAATATCCATGATAAATGTAGTCACAAAAATCCCCAACAGAATTTCAGCAAACCGAATTCAACAATATATTAAAAGGATTACATGCCATGACCAAATGGGAGTTACTCCACAGATGCAAGGATGTTTCAACAACCACTAATCAATGTCATATACCATATTAACAAAATGAAGGATAAAAGTCAGATGATCATCTCAATAGATGCAGAAAAAGCATTTGACAAAAAATTCAACATCCACTTATAGTAAAAATTCTCAAAAAAATGGGTATAGAAGGAACTTACCTAAACATAATAAAGGCTATATATGACAAACCCACAGTTAAAATCATACTCAATGGTGAAATATTGAAAGTTTTTCTTCTAAGATCAGAAATAAGACAAGGATGCCTGGTTTCAACATAGTATTGGAAGTCCTAGCCACAGCAGTTAGGCAAGAAAAAGAAATAAAAGCTATTTAAATTGGAAAGGAAGAAGTAAACCTGTTGCTATTTGCAGATGATATGATACTATATATAGAAAACTCTAAAGCATCCACCAAAAACTATTAAAACTAATAATGAAATCAGTAAAGTTGAATGATACAAAATCAATATATATAAATTTGTGTTTCTATACATTAATAATGAACTATCAGAAAGATAAACTAAGGAACAGTCCCATTTACAACCGCATCAAACAGAATAAAATACCTAGGAATAAACTGAATGAAGGAGGTGTAAGACCTGTACTCTGAAAACTATAAGACATTGATGAAGAAAATTGAAGAAGATACAACTGAATGGGGAGATAAACTCCTGGATTCGAAAGTTAATACTGTTCAATTGTCCATGCTACCCAAAGCAATCTACAGATTCAGTATAATCTCTATCAAAATGCCAATGGCATTTTAAAAATAAAACTAGAACAAAGAATCCTAAAATTTGTATGTAACCACAAAAGACTCTGAATAGCCCAAGCAATCTTGATAAGAAAACAAAGCTAGAGGTATTGCGCTCCTGAATTTCAAACTATACTATAAAGCTATAGGTATCAAACAAGTGTGGTACTGGCACAAAAAACAGATGCAAAGATCAGTGGAACAGAATACAGAGCCCAGAAATAAACTCATGCTTATTTGGTCAACTAATTTATGACAAAGCTGACAAGAATATGCAATGTGGAAAATAAGGTCTCTTCAATAAAGAGTTTTAGGAAAACTGGACAGCTATATACAAAAGAATGAAAACTGGACTACTTTCTTATACCATACACAAAAAATAAATTCAAAATGGATTAAAAACAAAATGTAAAACTTGAAACTATGAAACTTCCAGAAGAAAGCATTGGCAGTAAGCTTCTTGACATTTGCCTTAGCAATTTATTTTGCGATCTGTCTCCTAAGCGAGGGACAACAAAAGAAAAAATAAACAAATGAGACTATATCAAACTAAAATGGTTTTGCGCAATGAAGGCAACCATGAACAAAATAAAAGGCAACCTACTGAATGGGAGAAGATATTTACAAATGATGTATCTGATAAGGGGTTAACATCTAAGATATATAAAGAACCATACAACTCAATATAAAAACAGACAAACAATCCAATTAAAAAATAGACAAAGGACTTGAATAGATATTTTCCCAAAGAAGACATACAGATGGTCAACATGAAAAGAAGCTCAACAGCATTAAACCATCAGGGAAATACAAACCAAAATCACAATAAGAAACCATCTCACACCTGCCAGATGGCTCCTGTCAAAAAGAGAAGAAATAATAAGAGTTGGTGAAAATGTGGAGAAAAGGAAACCCTCTTGCACTGTTGATGGGAATGCAAATTGGCACAGCAACTATGGAAAACAGTATGGAATGGTCCTTAAAAATAGAACTATCATATTATCTAGTAATTCCACTTTTGGCTATTTATTCAAAAAATGACAACACTAATTTGGAAAGATGTGCACCCCTATGTTCATCTCAGCATTATTTACAATAGCAAAATATGAAAACAACCTAAATGTCCAATTGATAGATGAATGGATAAAGAAGATGTACAGACATACACAATGGAATGCTACCTTAAAAAAGATGAAAATTTGCTATTTATGATAACAAAGATGAACCTAGATGAAAGAGAAAGGCCATATGATTTCACTTACATATGGAATCTAAAAAACAAAACAGAATAGAAACAGATTCGTAGATATAGAGAACAAACTGATAGTTGCCAGGTAGGAGCAGGACAGGAGGATGGCAAGATAGGCGAAGAGGATTAAGAAGTACACTCTTCTATAATAAAATAAGTAAGATGCAGGGATATAATGTATAGCATAGGGAATATAGTTAATAATAATGTAATAACTTAGTATGGTGACAGATGGTAACTAGACTTATTGTGGTGACCATTTTGTAATGTATATAAATATCAAATCACTGTTATATACCTGAAAGTATTACATTGTACATCAATTATGCTTTAATGAAAAAACAATAAAGTGAATCTAAATGAAAATGAGAAAAAGATAATCTTAAGTTAATGGACCTTTCATAAACAAGTTAAATAAAATAATACTTAAGCTCACTGACTTAAAAGTCTACAAAGATACAAATTTCACTGTCAGACTTGTTCTCTTAAGAACACTTGAAATTAAGTATCCTACTATGCAAGACAGATGGAACTTAGTTCTGAAAACTGTGAGTGCCCTTACTTCAAAGTCGTTTGGGTTCTCGTTAGTGTATAGGAGGAAGTGGGTGTTGACATCTTTTGGAGACCACGGCAATATTTTGAGGGGTCTTTCCACAGTTCCTGCCCACGGGGAATCATCACTGATTGGGTGTTGACATCTTTTGGAGACCACGGCAATATTTTGAGGGGTCTTTCCACAGTTCCTGCCCACGGGGAATCATCACTGAAGCAGCCAAGTCTTGGGAAGCAAACCTCTTTTCCTGCAATCACCCAGAAGTGTGTCAAAAATATTAGCTTAACCACAGTGCTTTTTTTTAATGGTCCCTTTGCCAAAATAGGAGTTAAATTACATTTTGTGGCATATTTTCTTCCTGCATATCCCCAAACATCTTCCTATCTGCACACTCACAGAACAGCTTTAATAGGTAAACATCCCAGCTAAAGGCTGCCACTTCTTTCTACCACTTAGGACCACCTCACTCTCCTTGGGTCTCTGTCCAGCCTTGTGTTTTAGCCTCTCAACTCAGATGCCTGGGCCACTGGTGCCCAAGAAAGGAGCAGCCTTAGGTCCTGGGCCCTGGTAGAGAGGGCTGAGGCCCTCAACTCCTTGTAGCCATCTTTCAGCTTTGGGCTTTGGGTGGAGAATTTGTTTCATCACACACGCCACAACTTAGTATCTCCACCTGGCTGAGTATTTAGGTCTCTGACTTGTTCTGCGGGCCTCCTGTATTCCCCTGATGAAGACACTGCTCTCAAGTAATCAAATAGTGAATTCATGATGGACACAACTCTGTGCTTGAGTGTTAACCCACAAAAGAGCAACACAAAAGAAGGGTTCTTCAGGAGGATAAAATCTAGAAAAATCACAGTAGTAGCTGTTGTGGGGGCCCACATTCTCGAAATCTTTCTATGTGCCAGGTGCTAGACAAGATGATTTACATGAGATGTCTTACCTAAGTCTCATGATTATCCTATGTTGAAGGGGTGGCTTTATATGGCCATCTCACAGGGGAGACAGTGAAGCACAGAGAAGCTGAGAATTTTGCATAGGGTAATTTTGCTTAGGCTGGTGGATCCGGGGTTCATACCTCACCCTTGACTCCAAGTTAGAGTTGCCAGATGTAGCAAAGAAAACTGCGAGTTACATTTGGGTTTCAGATGAACAATGAATATATTTTAGTTTAAATATGACATGTATTTGTTGTTTACCTGAAATATTTGCTATTTATCTGAAATTCAAATTGAACTAGGCATCTTGGATTTTATCTGGCAACCCTACTCCAGGGTCTGTGCTCTTATTCCTGCATCGTTCTCACCCTGCTCCTTATTCTCAGAGAGGCTTGAATTTAGCCATCGTGGCCTTAGCCCTTCATGAAAGTGTTGAGCAATGAATCTCTTTCAGCACTACGTACACGTTTTGTCTTACCTGCTACCGCTCCCAGCAGCAGCGAAAGTGTCCAGATTAGCAGCATCTAAATAAAATTAAAAACATGATTGAGTCTGGCTAACTACATTTTAAAAATACTGGCACAATTCAAGCTCAGTTAAGCCTTTGAGGGGAAAATGGGTAAATTCTAATAAATTAGACTTGGAAACATGTTCCAGACTCACCGTGGCAGATCCGTCAGGTTCTGCGCACAACCAGAGAGCACCTGAAAGTCCCTTTTATAGGTTAACCTTATCTCTTTGAGAAGGTCCATGAAAAATGGTGTGAAAAGAGAGGAGGTTCCAAGAATGTATTCTAACTTTAATCATAAATAAACCAAGATTGATAGTCAGTAAAATTTTCCACAGTACTTGTGGGAAGATGAGAAAAGGGTAGATACAAACAGTTCTTTTTTAATGTGATTATTTCAATGTTCAGAATCACCATAATTTCTTTGTGGTGAAGGTCCTAGTCTGTCCATTTGCTGGTTTACAATTCCCTTATGCAGGTCTTGAAATAAATACTCAAAGCTTGGATAGCAGCAGTCTTGAAAATAAATACTCAAAGCTTGCTAGCTCATGCAGGTTTTGTATAACCTTGTCTTACCCTCAAAAACACGAAATGGAGGCAATTCTTCAAGAGCATTCGTTCCTTTTAGGAAATCAGTTGATATTTTACTTTGACAGTCCATAGAACTAGTCCATTTCTGAGCAGTAACATAGACAAGAGGATAAATGAACTGATGAAAGGAACTGGGGGTACTTCCAAGAGCAGAGGGGTGGAATCAGTGACCCCACCACCAAATGAAATGGTGAATAAGAGAGAAAAATAAAATTCAACTTGAAAAAAATGGACTGGTAAAATAATCTGAAAGAGAAGTATTTGATAGAAAAGGACTGGGATGTTTCCAGTTGATGAGTGATTGCTTAAAGTAAATTTTAAAAAGGCTGTAATGGGATACCATGATTTTAAGAGACTGGAGTCTTTCAGCCTGACAGTGTCCCAGATACAGGTTGAATTATATGAAATTGCGATGTTTGTAAGTCAAACATGGTCAAATAATACCTCAGCTCCCTGACAAATCTACAGGTATAGGAAAGGGTAAGTAACAACATTATTTGTGAATGAGAGAAGTTCAAGGAAGCTGGGCAAGGGAAATGGTAAAGAAGGCAAAAGGAATTCCACGGACGCAGCCACGGCGAGTTCTCACCGAATCCCCCACGTCTCAGCCTTGGATCCCCTCCTCAGGGACTCTCCAACCATGAGTAGGCTGGTTTACCTCTCACCGCTAATAACACCTCCCCAGAGGACTTCCCTCATTTGACATCCATCATAATCAGGTGTGAATCATAAACTCTGAGAGGCATGAACTCTGCCTTGTCGCACCTCAGCATCTCTCCCACTTGGTACCAGCAGGCTCTTAACACATCCCCGTTCAATGAGTGAACACGCAAATGAAGGAACGAATATGCAAAGCAATTATTTTGCATAATTGCTACAATAACAGCTGCCTACACAATCTCACAATAAAGAACTGTGATTTTCCGAAGACTTTTTTTTTTAACTTAAAACAAGCAACAAGCAAACAAAAAAAAAAAAAAAAAAAAATGCCAGTGCTCACTCTGGGGATTACTATGAAGTAAAATACATTCTGTGTGAATTGATAAATAATTTGCACAAAATTTCTAAGTTGGCGTTTTAGGTAGTACAAAAATTTAATCCATCATTAGAGTGACCTTTGTTCAATATAGGCTATAGAATTAGGACCAAAATTCACCAAATTGTGAAACAGACACAGAGTCTGTGGGGAATTATTTTATAAACTGAAATAGGTTCAAATTTTAGAGTGTTTTGGGAAGGCTTAATTTCCCCAAGTGTTATAAAAGCTAACGGAATTGCATGTGATCAGCAGTCTATCATGTCAGCTCTGGATGAATGATTTCCCCCTACATTCAATCTTGCTGAACCCTGGTTATAAACCTGGTTGTAAAATTTTATAAACCACATTGTTTCACTTCAAGCCACTAACATGCTATTTAAGAATGTCTGTTTATGGAATATGTGGCAATTGTTGCCCTCCTTGTACATAGAATAGAATTGGACTTTATTATCCAATCTCCCTTACAGGGAGATAGGCCACATGATCAGTTACTGACCAATGAGATATGAGTGCATAGAAGTACACTAGTTCCAGCCCTGTTCATAAACACGCACACACGATCTCCATGTGCCTCCCCTTCCTTGGCTTGATGCAGAGAGAGGTACAGTTGCCTTGTAGGCCATGTGTTGAAGCCGGCAGAGTCACAAGATGGAAGATACCTGGGTCCCCTGCTCAGAGGAAATCTACCCATGAATCACAAACACCCATTTTGAACATGTGAGCAAGAAGTAAAGTCCTACTGTTTTAAAGCACCGATCTTTCAGGGTCATAGCAACCAGCATTACTTTAAGCAACAGAGGTCATTTTATTATACAATGGTTTCTCCTACTTCCAAGAATAATTCAGGTAGCCGACACTGAGTCTTGGGTTGTAAATTTATCATGAGATTTGGGTGGTACTTATGCATACAATTAACACTTTTTAACAGACTTTTTTCTTTTTTCCTAATTATTGGTTTTAAAAGTCCCCTTTCCTGCCACTTCCTGAATTACAAAAAGCAATTGCTCAGTTCTTCACTTCATTTTGCAGCATTTTAATCTTAACGGGTGTTTTTCAGTTCAGTCCCTGAGGGTGACTAGTTTCACAAGTCATCTGAGGCCATGTGATAACTCAGAATTTAGTGAAAAATCACCCAGTGTTGCCTGGGCCCCCAGAGGCAATTTATGTGTAGTTGGAACAGGTCAGAGTGCTGGATACATAGGAAAAGTCTCCAATACTCCAGGTAGGTGGGTCAGAGCTACCACCAAACCCCGCTCTCCACCAGCCTCACTGTGGGGGCAGAAGGTGAGCCTGTGAAGGGTGACACAGGCATGGCAGTCTTCCTCTGGAGTGCCTCATGGCTTTGGAAGAGGGCTCTCACTGAAAAACAATTCCACCTCTCCTGAACTCAGTAGAGCATTAGGTAACAATGACTCAACTTTGACTCTGAAACCTTGGACAATTAAAAATAAAAATGCCAAACTTGGAAGTTTCTAATCCAGGAGCTATGTTTGCAGAGGAGTTAAATATTGACATATGTTTAGGCTCCGATTCTGGCAACTTTGTGATATCAAACCCAGGTGAGGGAAAGAAAGGCCCTGAGACACCTGTGTGGCCAGATAACCAGCATGTTAGCCAAACAAGGTATCATTTACTTAACCTTCAGAGAGGCCGTCCCATCCTCTCTTATCCAGTTCAGCCTATTGTCAGGGCCACGAGTGGGACGGAGAATGGGCTCACCTGAGGATGCCAAACTTCCCTGAGCAGAAGCTTGCAGGGGTCCCAGGGCGGTGGCTGACCCATGCATTCCAGAGCAACCATCCCACCAAACGTGAGGACCATTAGTTCACCCACACCCAGGAAGTGAAATTATAGTCAAGCCTCCTCCATTATGCATGAAGATGGTTTATTTGGTAGAAGAGAATAACAAGGATCCCTAAAATTTTATAGTATTAATGATTTGGTATTATATACTTTTTAAGTTTCTGCATTTAACCTCCCACAGAACCTGTAGAAAATTTAGCTATTTTTCTTATCAAGACAGTGAGACTCAGAGGGTTTAAGCAAACTGCCCAGGGTCATACACCTGGTAAATAGCAGAGCTAAGTCTCGGGGGCAAATTCTTTTCACTAGCCCCAGATTACTTGTTTGTGTGAATCCACAGGAGCCATGTCCTCCCAGGCTGTGATAGTCCAGAGATGATGATCTAAAAAATGGTCAGTCGTGGGTATAGCAGGACATGTTAATATGTGTGTGTATATATGTGTGTGAGACTGGCTGCTTTCTGAAACAATGTCACATACATACATTTTTTGGACAAACTGTTTTATTCGTATTTTGGTTCCCAGCAAATGGCAATTTTATCAAATAGAAATATAACTTCTATGACATTGGATTTGATCGTCATTTCATTCCCAGACCATCACAGTAGTCTTCTAATTGCTTTTCTTGCCTGAGACTGTCCACTTTCTTGGCTGTCCTTTATACCCTGCCTCACAGTCAGGTTTAAAATGCAAACTGGCCATGTATTGTTCTTAAGATGTGAGGGCCCTTCCCTTGCCCTGTGTTTTCTAGATCAGTGCCCAGTAGGAATATACAGTCACAGTAAAAAAAGTAAAAATTGGTGAAGTAGGTATATTTTAATAATTTATTTGATGTAAAATATCCAAAACACTATTATTTCAACATTTGGCACAAGCCAGATTTCAAGTGATTGGTGGTGACACGTGGCTGGTGCCTGTTGTATTAGATAGTACAGTTCTAGGTCAAATTTACTCTTCTTAAAATTACTAATAAGGCTTTACAGATCTTGGCTCCTCTGAGGTTTCTAACCTTGTTTCCTGCCTATTTGGCTTATATTCCAGCCACTCTGAACTCCTTTTAAGACACAAATTCTCAAGGGGTTTGAATGGGATCCAACTGTAGGGTACTTAAAGAATGGAACAAAATTTTCCAGATGTCATTGAGTAGAAGGAGAAAGCAAAATTCAAAGACTCAATCACAGCTTGGATCCTGGGAGCTGGGAGCCAAAGGGAGCCAGAGAGGGAGAGAGGGAGGGAGGAAGAAAGGAAGGAAGATTAATAACGTGTACCCATTTCTTTTGTGCCATATCTAAAATGTTTTGGGGGTCAGTTATAAATAATGAGGATCCTCAGAGACGTAGGCAAAGCCAGAGGCTGTCCCACCACGTGCATCTCATAACCAACCTTGTAGGGAAGTAGCAAAGTCTATTTTAAAAATCGTTCAAGTTGAGATATTCTACTTGTCGCGGTGATAGAACAGCAGGTATCATACATGAACTTCTACCGTAAGTATTTAAGAGACTTGCCAGAATAACTGAAGCAGTGATTTTCAAAGATTGACTAATGGGCAGTGCAAGACGAGTGAGAAAAGGAAGGCCTCCCATC